TGACGTTTTAATTTTAGAAGACACCTATTTTCAGTGTGTGGGAAGGCGGGTTTTGCTGTGCACTGAAGTGCACAATAAGGCTGATATCATCGAACACTCCCATGCTGGTGTGAATGAGAAGCAGCACAGCTTTAAAATCAGCAAAGCTGCACTCAGTTTAAACCAGTCTGCTTTCAAAGTCTTTACCAGGGGCATTTTGCATTTGCTGTCGCAAGTGACAAAGTGAGTCCCGAGGGTCATATTTTCTCTGGAGCCACATCAGTTTGTATCTGTTGAGCCCCTGATTTGGAATGTTTGTTCCACCATGTGTGTCAGATTTGCCGCCCTGTTCTGCAGTAAATGCCTAAAGACGCGTGCGGTGCCTGGAGCAATGAATAATAACAGGACTTGGGGACACCAGTGACCAAGTGACAAAGATCACTTTCTGAGGAAAGGACTTTTGGATCACCTCTACAGGGAGGGAGAGAAAGGGGAAGGGAGGGAAGAACGGGCGCCTGAAGCTCCTCCTTAGAGGAGCTGTGCAAGAGTTAGTGCAGAGGAGGATGAGTCACCTTCAGGCTTTGGCTGGGGTGGCAAGGGAAGCGCTCCCACCTCCAAAACGCCTCCTCCTTCTGCTTTGTCACTGCCTCTCTGCACTCAGGCTCTGCAGTGACCCTGGATTCTCTGTTCAGAGAGGGACAGTGGCAGTGCCACCCGTGTGGGAAGAGCAGAGCAGGAAAGCACAGCCCCTGCAGTGGGCATCTCACAGTCCCTCCTTTCCCCTGTGCCACCAGTGGCTGTCAGAGGACTGGACATGGGGCTGTGTGTAACATTGACTCTCTCATGTTTTATGCATAGTTACACCCACTGCCCTGGGGGAGGAAGCGCCAGCAAATCAAAGCTTCTCAATTTCTTTACACTAGACTTTACTTGCTTATGATCCATAAGAGAAATTACCTCACAGAGACTCAGACCCGTGTATTTGCAGCACTGCCATCGATACACCGGACTGAGGGCAGGAAAAGGGACATTTCTCTTGCCTAATTGGAACTACAATACTTAGGCACAGAGTCTCAGTTAATTGTCTAGGCTCTATCTTTTGTGAGTACAAATCCTAGGCACTGCTAACTGGTGATTCATGGTAGATCTGACAGGCACAGTGACTCACCCCCTAATAATGCTGGTTTGTCTCCACTGGTTGTGGGTTTGCTGAAACACATCGAACTTTCAGGTGGGTAAACTTAGGTGAGATGAATCTTATCCCAGGAAGCAATTTCTGCTGCCATCCCTTACCTTCCTCTGCAAACACCTCCAGTGCAAGGTGTGCAGTGACTTGTGGAGAAATGTGCTCTTCAGTGTGAAGCAGCAGCTCTGAAATGAATGTTGTGAAAGGTCAGTGGCTCTGCCCAGGTACCCATGGCCACCGTGTCAGAGAGTAACTGTCAGAGCTGGAGTGGCAGCCTGAGGGATGTCAGGAGTAGAAAACCACCAGTCTGAGTGCCCAGTTTGTTTCTACCCACGGAGATTCAGTTACAGACTGAGATCTCAGTGCTTTCTCTGAAATCTACACCAAAGTTTTATTTATACATGAAGAAAATTTGCCAAATGAATGGCCAAATCAACATGATAAAAAACCCACACCAAAACAACCCCCTAACTTTATAAACAGCACTGTTGTTTTGGAAATACCCATCTCTTATGACTACTTTAGGATAAAAAATTATTTCTCTGATAGCATTAAGTACAGCCTTCATGCATAGACTTTTTTCAGACTACCAACACCAGGGAAGATGTGAGATGTGCTGTAGCTTCAAATCAAATGCACAAACATGCTAGATGTGAATATTTATTCTTAAATTTCTGTTTATTCCTAACCTGAAACTAGCTGTCTGGGTGTTCGTTCAGCAGATCCCAACCTAAGCACTATTATACAAGGGATCAGAGTTTTAAAGAGGGCTGAGGAAAGTTGCTCACTTGCTTAGATGGTTTATGATTTGACTGCTAAGGGTTTTCTTTTATTAAACTGCCGAGCAGTTGCTTATTTGAACTTGTTCTGCCATTGGCAGAAAGTTGTCTTCAGAAGTTGAAATTAAATATGTAGAAACTTCTCTAAAATCATTCTGTAGATTTGTACTCTTGGTACTGTTGTGTATTTTTCCAAATGTGCAGCACGTTACAGGCCTCTAGTGGTAGAAATGAAAAAATCTACATTAAGATCCATGCTTAATGCAGCAGTTCCTGATGATACTTAATTCCAGGCTTAATAAATTGCATAATGCTTCCTGTTTACAGATTTGGCCTGCTAGTTTGCTCACCTAAGGGAAATGGAAATTCTGCAGAGGTCAGAGATACCAGTGACAATGAGAAAGTAAACTAGATTAAAAAGAGAGAAAAGTACCTGGAGAATAGTCCTACTCTTGCTCAATTAATGTCTCCCTGTAGTAGCCAAAAGAGGTAGAATGGTGTGAGTCTGGCAGGTTACAACCAAGACACACCATATCTGCCTTACCACCACTTTTTCTACAGGTCTGCGTGTGCCTGGACCCTGTCAGTGCATCTCAAAGCCTGGTTGGTACCACCTCCCTGGCAAATTCCCAGGTGTTAGTTGTCCAGCAGCATTCTCCTTTCAGTCCTTGGGAAAGAGCATCCCATCCTGCCAGGCTGATCTCATAGCATTTAACATTTTATTTGCTCAGCACAAATTTATTTATCTTATGCAAAGTACAAGACAGTGACTGTGCAATTCCCAGAGGGTGGTTTGGGTTTGGTTTTCTTTTTTTTTTTTTAAATTACAGTTTTTCGCTAATATTAATAATAATACTTTCGAACAAAGCTTCATTTCTGAGATAAATATGATATGAACTTATACCTCCCAAGGCTGGATTTCTATAACATGCCCACTGCATTCTTTCTTCTCAAGCTTGAGTTCAAAAGGAGCTGAGAACCACAGGTAAAGAACAGAAAGAGAGATGATGTTGAGGATGTGAAGGTAGTGATTCCTGTGTTTTGGGTAATCCTGAAACTTACAGAGGATTGGAGGTGTGGGGGAAAATTATATCAACTGGGTAGAATAGAGCTGGGAATACCTGCATATTCTAAACAGTAATGGTTACAAGGTCAGGGGTTGTTATATAGTGTCTCCAAGGAGTACCGTGTGTAAAAAAAAAAAAAAAAAAAAGAGAAGCGTCAGAAGTGATCAAAAACTATAAAGATCAATTATTCCACTCTTTTTTCCACTTTGGTGTTCTTTATTGGACAATGAGTTCGTCACTGGGCACTGCATTGTAGTGGAGTGGTAACCAAATTTGAGAGGATTCAGAAGAGATCAGCTGAAAGGCTACATATCTGGGGAGTAAAGAGCTGTGGAGGAAAGCTTAAGGCTATTCTGGAAGACAGGTGCCTGAGGGGATGTGTAAGCACAGTTTATGTCAGAATCCCTGTGTGACTACAGGCTATGGAAGAAGTGGTGGCAGAAGAGGGTAAAATTCTGTTGAGGGAGGCATTCAAGTCAGAACATCATATTTGGAAGTGAATGCATTGCTATTAGAGGCATCATCTTGGGCTTAAATGCCTTTAGATCTTCTTGGAAAAAAGATCTTGGATCTTCTTGGATCTTCTTAGGTATGTGGAAAGGACCTGATCTAGTGGAAGGTGTCCCTGCCCACAGCAGGGGGCTTGGAACTAGGTGATCTTTAAGGTCCCTTCCAAACCAAGCCATTCTATGATTCTATGATTTATCTCTGCTTATCAGACAGGAGAGGAAGTATCTGCACTGTTGAAAACTGTCAGGTAGAGTAAAAAAGAACTTGCTCATCCTTTCATACGCTCGTGGATTGCTTTCTTTTGGCTTTCCTTGTTACACTTCTCAGTATTGCCCAGGGGATGTGTGAGTTGTATCATTTTGGTACAAACAGCACCAACATTTCTCAAACATTCCTTCTCATGATCCACGGTGAAATTCTAGTGATCTCCAGCCACAAGCTTGGAAACCATCACTCTTTGTGGCACCTGTGCTCACACACCTGTTTGGAGCTATATTTGAAGACAAATTCAATGTCTTCAGTTGCTGTCCAATGAGATGAAATCCAGTCCCCTAATGGAAATCACATACAGTTAATGAAATTCTGTGGGAAAAGGGAAAACTTCTATCATACTATTAAGTAGTACTTGGTTATGACCAAAAAACCCTTAATTTATCCCAGTAGTCCAATTGCAGAGCATCCTAAGCGAGCCCTCATAGCTGTCTACAACTTCCTCATGAGGGGAAAAGGAGGAGCAGGCACTGATCTCTTCTCTGTGGTGACCAGTGACAGGACCTGAGGGAATGGCTGGAGCTGTGTCAGGGCAGGGTTAGGTTGGATACTGGGAAAAGGTTCTTCCCTCAGAGGGTAGTTGGGCACTGAACAGGCTCCCCAGGGCAGTGGTCAGGGTCCTAAACCAGACAGAGCTCAAGGAGTGTTTGGACACTCTCAGGCACATGGTGGAGTTCTTGCAGTGTCCTGTGCAGGACCAGGAGTTAGACTTGATGATCCTCATGGGTCCCTTCACACTCAGGATACTCTATATTGCTAAGTCAACTCATGCCAACTTTTTGAACAGACTGCTTTTGCAGTAGACACAGCTGTCAATGTTCCTAAGTGCAAAAGAAGAGTCTGTGACGCCTGGGACGTGAATAAAGACTCATGGCTACGTGGCAAAAAAATGTTCAGTTAATAAAATAACCAGCATCAGTCCCTAGTCCACAACTGAGCCCTGGCATCCATGGCTGACTTGCAGATGGCTCAGAGGGAATGAAGGTTTGCCTGAGATCTACACGATGTCTCTGATAACGCATTAAACTGATGTATAAGGGACCTGACAGAAGTGATTCTCTGACAATGCTGAGGGGTGGGTTATTCTATAAATTTGGACCACAACTGGTCTAACCCCTGTGTGACAGATCAGTGCTTTTCATGGGGATAAAAGGGATAGAAACGTTCTTGCCATGTGCTGCTGAGTGAACTCTCAGGCTGTCTCACCAGCTTCCCAGGATATGACTGCAAGCACTCAGATGTGACATTCGGCCCTTCTCTCATCACCTTTGACTGTGGCAGCTGTTTTTTTGACTGGGATGTTACTCCTGGGGCTGGGCAGGTGAGGCTGTGAAATCCTGAACTGAACACATTTAAAAGCAGGGTGGGAGAGATCTTCTGATGAATTATGTTGAGGGCTATTCTGGCACTGCACAAACCAACCTGACGACTACTTGTGCTGGCACTTACTAGAGTCCTAAATGCATATCTTTGGATATGCTTTTGCAAGGAGCAGCAGGAAACCTTTAAATGTGTGCTTCTGCCTTATCTTCTTAGTATAGAGATGGAACTACCTACCTGAGGTTCAGCATATTATTCTAATTTGAGTTCACAGCCTCTTCAGTCTTAAGGAAACCCATGAGCCAAGTGGACATTTTTTTGCAAAAGAAGGCCCTTTTTCTTCTGTCTGCTTTCTTTATGTCATTAGTTTGGGCACTGCTAGCTGTCCAGTCATTATATCATGTTTTAATTGTCTAAATCTCCTCATGACAGAAAGTCATTTGAAAGGCTTCCTTGATCTGTTAAAGGACAATTGAAGACAAATTGAACACCATCCAATTTTTTTTTACGAAAAAAGAGACACAGTATGTTGCCTGCATAGTCAAAAGCAGACTTTCATTCCAATGGCAGTGCCTGCTCTGTATTCTGTTGTGTCTCCTGTGGCAGAGATCAACCTTTTCCTCTCCGAGGTGTAGTTTGTTGACTTCCAGCTAGGAGAACACTCTATATTAGGAGTGTTTTTCCTATACTGGGACGTAGAAGATTATGTTTTAAAGCCCCATAAGGGCAACAAGGACAAAACCACCAACCCAGGAGCCTGTACAATCCCCAGTGGATCAATTCCAAAATTCTTACAGTAATTAAGATAAGAAGGAAGGATGAAGTGTATTGCAACTTGGAAGTGCAGTGAGCTACCAAAGCAGTATTGCTAGTCCACATCCTCCCTCAGGGTTTGGCCTAAAGCCTGGAAGTATGACAAGACCTGTGCCTATAGGGTAGGTTGGGTTGCCCTAGTAGGTAATGCTATTGCAGGAGCATGGAAACCAGGAGGTTTCCCCCTGCTGCAAGATGCAGCAGGAAGACTGGGAATTCCTGTATGTTACTCTGGCTAATTTGCTGTCACCTTTACCAGGGCTGCACTAGCCAGCAGCAGCAGTATTATTAATGATGCCTCCCATGGACATATTGTCCTTATATGAAGTTCTCTAAGCATATGTAAACATTAATTAAGCCTCTTAACACCTCAGGGAGTTCCAAAGGGTTCACATCAGTTACTTTTATGATGCAGCTCTGCAGCTGTTTGACTGCACATGGCCCTGCTAGTTATTGGCTGCGGAGTCTGCTAGAACTGGACTCACAACCCCATCCTTTTTCTGCAATAAATGGAAAGGGAGTAGCACTTTCTCTCCACTCTCTTTTCATAGAATCACAGGATGGTTTGGGTTGGAAGGGACCCTAAAGATCCTCTTGTTCCAAGTCAGGAACACTTTCCACTAGACCAGGATGCTCAGAGCCCTGTCCAACCTGGCCTTGGACACTTGAACACAATCATTGCTTTGAGAGCAACATATAAAATCCAGCCAAAGTTCTCTGCAGTGGGGAAGTCACCACTCTTTCAGTGTGAATGAAGGCACACTGCCTCAGTAAAGATTCCATGTCACTGTACCTTTTGTTCTGAGTTACCTTAACTCAAGGCAAAGTCTTCTGTTTCACACAGGCCATGCATAGACAGAGATTCAGGATGGACCATGATAAAACTGAATCTTTTTTGCCATTGTAAATGTAAGGCAATTTCAGGGAGGTTTTTGCTGTTCTCCAAACAGTAATTGCATCAGAAGGACAGAGATCAGAACATTCTGTACTACCTATTGGCTACACAACTCACCATTAGAAATTGGAAAGTCGAACTGCTCATTTTCTGGTTCCTATAAATATCTGCTCTATTTGGCTTCCAGATCACTGGGAGCAGATGTACCAGATCATTAAGGGAGCAAAGAGGATTTTGCATCCTCAATTTTTATTGCTACCATAAATACTTCGGTAGTCACTGCATGGGGAATCAGACTCTGCAGAGCTTGCAATCTGCATGTTAGGCACGATCAAGTGCTTTGCAGACATGGGCAGGATAAAGGCAGGAGTAGGCAAAATGGGAATAAAAAGTAAAGTGGTAAGAGTTGGGGAGACATCACATCCTGGTTTGGCAGCTGCCTGCTGACCACAACATGTCAGGGATTTTCAGGCATAATAAGAATGAAAGATTTGATGATGAGGAGTGAGACAGTAGCCTTACTAATTTCTGTGGGGAGGTTTCTCCAGGCGTAGGGCTGAAGGAGAAGGGGATGGGAGCATGGTACCATCACAGAGAGACTTAGCTGAGACTAATTTAGCAGGGACATCTTTGCAGAGGGGAGATGATATGGGTATCTGCCAGGTGAACAAGAAGAGGGAGAGATGTCTTAGACTTTCAGAATCACCATGAAGCTCACAGATGCTGGTGTGGTAATGAAGAGCATCGGATTGTAAAACTCAGATACACATCATTTGCTTTTAACAGCAGCATTTCAGTTACAAGAGCATCCTCTTTCCTGTGGTGGGAGCCCCAGTCATTTGCAGGTGGCCTGCACAGCATCTGTGTACCATTTATATCTCTCTTCAGCTTCTGAAGTAAAGTCTGGTTTGATGGGCCTGCTTGATCAGCTGGGTGCACAGAGTGAAGGAACATCAGAAGGTAGGGGAGAGGCAAAGGAAGAGAGAATCCCTTCTCCAATGGCAGTGGATGTTCAGTGGCAAGTTCTAGTATGTACTTTCCCTTCTGCAGGAACAGCTGGTCGGAATTAATTTCTCAGTCCAGTGTTGTTGGTGGGTTTGTGTGGGAGTGAAATGGAAAATTCTCAAAAGGACTGAAGCATTCAAGTATTACCAGGAGAGAGTTTTATAAAGACTTCCCTTGATTTCAAATGGGAAAACAAGAGGCAGGGATCAGCATTTCAGATCAAACACTGTAGTCTCATTATGTGGATGCTTCACTAGTTGTATCAGGAATTAAATGTGTGTTCTGCCCATGGCTCAGGCATATTGGAAATGCTATGAGGTCTGGGTTTGGAGATCCGTATGCTGCTTATACCAGAGGCCTTGGACAATCTGGTTCATTCTGTGTTCTTTGTAAAGCTCTAGGACTAGAACAATGTTCCTGGAATCCCTTGGATTGGGATTTCTCCCTCCACTTTTGTTGCCCTGATTCACAATTCATCCTCAGTGACTCCTTCTACAGCAAACTGAGAGAGAGGTGCAAGTCCAGGGGACACCTCTTTTCTAAGATTGACATTTTGAGTTATGGCAGATAAGTAGGTTACTAGAGCATACTGTTTCTCTCTCCAACCATTCCTGGGTCCTGGAGTCACCAGTTCAGAACTGAGCATGTAAAGCTTGGTGAGATAACCCCCAACCTAATGTCTAAATCATCACCTTCTTTTTCTTTTGGTTTCTCATATCTGGCCAAGATTTTAGCTTAAAAACCTCTTTGCTGCCACCATGCCTAAGGGCTGCAGGTTTTTTTAATAAGAGGCTGTTATCACCCAACTGGTCAAGACATATTTTTGGGCTCATTTCTGGGAAGTTTTTGAATGATGTTTGGGATCAACATGAAGTCACTTCTCCTTGCCAGTCACAGTGCAACTTTGAAACAATACTGATTCAAGACATGCTGAATGGAGAGTAGATTTAGAGATGAAAACCAAAGGTTTCTGAATTCTCTAGGCTTAGGAGATTTTTGGGAATTCATTTTGGGAGACAGGGTTGCTTCAGGCTCCTACACAAAAGCATACAATGAGAGAAGATTCTTTCCTCAAAGAACTGCTCAAGTAAGTAGGCAAGACTAAAAAGAGGTGGGTATAGAAGCAAAGAGGATTCAATTCAGATGCCTATACATAGGTAGGTATCTAGGGCCACTGGAGATGCCTTAAGATAGCTCTGAGATCCATGTGGAGCTCACAGATATGGCACAGAACTTGCAGGAATCCTTGGACTACCAGAACAGCGGGAGGTCAGGTGAGATGCCTTAGGGTATCCTGAATGTCCATAGGTTCCTATGTGTGGGCAGCTGGATCAGTCCTTAGAACTCCTCTAAGCATTGTAGAAGTTAATTAGATGTAGACAACCAAATTTAGGTGTCTTGTAAGATGTTCACACTTGAAATGACTTGCCCAAGGTCACAAAGATAACAGCTTCAGAGCCAGAATCTGGTTTGCACCCAAGTGGATGGAATTTGCTGAATTTGGCTCTTCACTAACTGCAGGTCACCTTCACCTCACTCCTGTGAGAGAGGCAAGATTTCCCTCTGCTTTATAAGTCTGGGAAATGAGGCATGGGAAGGCTGAGTGACGTTTTTGAGACCTCAGAGTAAACTTAGTATGTCATATGCAGAAGAAAAATCTATGCTGGTAAAATTAACATTCTGGTTTTTAGGACCATAATTTACACAAGAACTGCTGTAATCTTCCAGTCCTATGCATAGAGACAGGCTGCTCAGTACCTGTGCCAAATCTTTCTTCCTGTAATCTGTTCTGAACCTTCCAAGGTCTGTGCAATTGGTTGCACGATGCATAAGTGAGGCAATCGAGAAAGAGAATCCCTGTGCCAGAAGGAGCTTCTTCCTTCAACTGCTTCACTGCGCATCTTAAGGACTTCTGTTTGCTTTAAATAGATGTGAATTTGGGCTTTTTCGTGCACAAGAGCTTTGCGGACTAGACCCAAAAAAGTTTGGTTAGGTTTTCAGAGGGTTTTAGTGATGGTTGATTGTCACCTAAAATCACTGTATTTCTCCAGAAACACATGCATATTAGCAAAACAAGTGTAGTAATTTAATTATTATTCTGCAGGTAATTCTATTGCTGTTAAAACATCAATTATTGTGTTACCCTTTGTTGAGAGACTGCTCATAAAACCAGCTCTCATTTGTTTCTGTTGTTGGCAATTGAAAGTTGATGTGATTGTTGAAATGAAGTAGGGGGAGATCACATGAACCTCCCTTGACAAATATGCTCATGAAAATGTCATTCCAGAAGTTCAGAGCTTTCTCTGGAGGACAGTCTTGCCAAGGAACAAGGTACTGTTGCGTCTGCTGGTAGTGTTGACAATCTGATCCTGCCCTTGAACTTCTCATGACTAGGAAGTACATTATCCCATAAGTGGCTGTAGACCTTGTTTAGCAAAAGTGCAGATGTAGATATGAGCTGAATAAGAGATTTGTGTGTTTTTTACCTTCCTTCCTGTCCTGTGGCATCCACAGCTCTGGCATTTACATCTTGTTGAAGCCAGTTTCATACAGAGTTAAAATTACTAGTAATTTTAAATATCTGCATATCAATATGAATATCTACATGCATAAAACAGTTGAGAGGTTTGGTTCAGTTAAATTGCATAGGAAGGGAGTTCAATGCCAGGTATTCCAAGGGCCAGGTATATACCAGTTTTAGAAGGTAGCAGGACACTTCAAATCTTTAGATATGTGCTGGTAGTTAAGGTTGTGGTGCCTTAACTAGTTAGATATTCTTGTTGTTTATTGGTGTTTGGTGTTGTATACACATGCTTTACACCTTTGTAGCACTGTGGGAAAAACATAAATGGGATGTCGGGTCTGAGACTGTCCTGCTCTGTGGGGCTTGGCCTGGATTAAGTGGATAACTGAAATAATAACATACTAATGGGTTAAAGACTGAAAAAGTAAAAAATGATGTCTTAAATTTGCTATAACAGCTTGATTAACAGCAAGAAGCCGTTCTCATTTTTCAAGTAATTTTATTTGTATTAGATGAAACTTTTTAGGTGGGTAAGGAATTTTGATCGATGAGAGTTAAATTGCTGACAGCTACAAAGGGCATTACTACAAGAGATGAGGTTTTGGACTTCAGATGTGTACCACAGTACATCTTCTTTGCATGAAGTGGAGGTAGGAATAGCAAAGCCCACAGGCTGGTCACATTGATTAGAGGGATGAAGCCCCTCTCCTATGAGGAAAGGCTGAGAGAAGAGAAGGCTCTGCTGTGATATAATTGTGGCCTTCCAGTACATGAAGGGAACCCACAGTAAAGATAGAGAGAGACTACAAGGGCCTGGAGTGACAGGACAAGGGGCAATGGCTTCAAACTGACAGAGGGTAGGTTTAGATTGGATATTGGGAAGAAATTCTTTCCTGTGAGGGTGGGGAGGCCCTGGCACAGGTTGCCCAGAGAAGCTGTGGCTGCCCCATCCCTGGAAGTGACCAAGGCCAGGTTGGATGGGGCTCTGAGCAACCTGGGATAGTGGGAGGTGTCCCTGCCCATGGCAGGGGGTTGGAATGAGATGATCTTTAAACTCCCTTCCAATCCAGGCCATTCCATGATTCTTTAATCTGCTAAGTCTCTGCTGTGGTGTTGAGAGTATCACCACACTATCAGCAAAAGTTCTTCCCCCAGAGGGTGGTTGGGCACTGAACAGGCTCCCCAGGGCAGTGGGCACAGCACCAAGGCTGACAGAGCTCAAGGAGCATTTGGACAACACTCTCAGGCACATGGTGGGATCTTCAGGCTACCCTGCACAGGGCCAGGAGTTGGGCTTGATGATCCTTCTGTATCCTTTCCAACTCAGTATATTCTATGACTCTATGATTCTATGATGTAGCCTGGATATCCAGATGAGCTTGGCCCCCTCCTCCTTGTCTTTCTCAAGTATTGAAGCAGGTCTGTTTTGCTAATTTGTGCTTTCAGTAGTTTTGATTGAAAGCAACAGCAAACAGAGGACCAAATAGCAAAAATTGTATTGTCTAGAAGCCCTCAGAATTGTTTTACTGTTAGTATTTTTTATTGATAATGATTTTGTGCCAAACACCTCTAATATATGCAGGACATAGGTAGGTTTTAAATTAGCTAAAATATGCCAACTTTTAAATCTCTGATGGAGTTTTCTGAGCTATCATATACTGTGCACAACAGAGTTGCTTACTACTGTGGCTGTAATTCATGTTCCTGCAGTTCCCTTTTTTCTTGACTAGTCACTGAATGAAAAACCCAATTCACTCTGGCATTCAGAGCTCCCCTAATACTATTCCAGTGAAGGAGCAATGCTTTTTTTTTTATTTTTCTATTGAGTTTTTGCTGAAACTGAAAGCCCTGAGGCTTTTATGTGTGGTCCCTACAGAGCTGACCTCACAGTTGTACTGTCATTCATCAAAGGACACCCATTCACAGACTGTAAAAGTACCATGTTCCTGATGTCATCTCTCCATGTGCCAGCCAGGCTAGTGAACATCTGCAACAGCACCACTGGGAACACTTCAGGAACAGGACAGGTTTCAAAAAATGAAATATGCTTCATGGTATTTTTAAAAGAAGAAAATCCAGTTTACGTGAACAATAAAATACTTTGTCCTAAATGAAACTGGTGAAAATTCACTTCAGCTGATTTTTTTTTCACCAAGGTAAAAAAGAAGTTTGATGGAGAAGTTTGTGTCTGTAATTACATCAATATAAATAGCTCAGCAAACATTACTTGAAGTTACCAGATAGATATACTAAAATACAGTCCCATCTACACATAACAGATAGAAAGGGCTGGTCTAATTTATTACTTTCTCTGATTTGCACAGATAAATCACTGAATCTTTTTAAGGACTGGGCCACAAACACTATAGAAATGAAACCTGTTGGTTCATGAACAATTAAAAAACTTCAACTTTTTAGGAAGCTCAGCAAAAAAAAAAGTGTGTAAAACTCACCATCACTGTCTCCCTGAACCTGAATCAACAAAACCCTGGATCAACAATATGATACCAAAGGTCAGACAAATCTTTTCCTTAACTGGATTGCCCTTCTGACCCTGAAAATTCAAAACCCTCACCCTAAATCACCTTTCCCGAAAGTATCTATTTAAATTCTTTCATAGTTTCCACATATCATGGAAATACAGTAATTGTCCAGCACCATCAACAGGTGATGTGTTTCAAGGAAAAACTACCACCACATGATATGCCTAATTCCCAAAGCTGCTTTCAAAAGCTAATCTTTGGTGTTTTGCCCTTCAGAAATGCTTGTGATGTATCTGATGACAGGCACATGGTACGAGAAATGGGGTTACCCTTGGTTTTTCTGGGGAGTTCTGCTAATAAAATGTGCTCACTGGGAAAAATAAAAGATATATCCACACCCTAGGGTCAGGTTCACCCCAGGTGACCAAGCTTGGTGACCCATCACTTGGCTTTGAGCTCTTTCTTGGTGGGTGGGGGTTGGGTTCCAGGGTGCTGGTTCTGCCTTGGCACCTCCACTCCCACCTCCACAGGACTGAGTCACAGACACTGCACTCGCTGACTGGACCTGCTCCTGGCTGTGGCTCTCTGCATTTTCCCTTGATATGGTTCCTGGAGATCATAGGGGGGCATACCTGGTGTCACTGTCAAACCCCTCAAAATATTTTTCTGTATTTTTAAAAACAATAAAGGTTTTCCTGTACCTTTAAAAACAGTGAATGTGACTCCCCCAGGGGCATAGGCAGGATATGAGGGGATGACTCCAGCTGAGTTTTCTCTGCCTCCCCTGAGTGAGCGAGTGAGTGAGTGAGTGAGTGTTCCCACTGTTCTCTGCTCCCTCATTTGGTGGTTTGCACATATTTTGAGCACACAAAAGGCTTGTTGACAGCCCCTTGTGATGGGCTGAAGGAGTGCTCCAAACAGACCAGTTTCCAGGCATGATCCCTCATTTTTACTGCTTGCAAAGCTGTCATGGCCTGAAGAAACCTGCAGAAGAAATGGCCTGGTTCCCACTTGGCCAGGCTCCCAAGCGTGACACTAAAGGTCAGTCATTCCCTCCTGTGGAATCCCGTTCCTCTTCTGCATTCTATTCTCTCCTTTTACCAGTCTACTAATCTGAGAGATCATGTGGGGAGAGGCAAGAGAGGGTGGGGGAGGAGTGTGTGATGTAACCTCTGCTCTGGCAAAGTTACGAGACAACACCACAGTGCCCACAGCTCACGGTGGGATTTTGGTGGCTACCGCTGGGACACTTAAATAAGAGGCAGGAAGATCCATGCCCAGGAGGTATGAAGATCTACCACAGCTGTGTGGGACCCAATAGCTGTTGTACTCACCTCACTTGTGGAGAAGAAAGCTGAGCACAGTGTCTGCAGCTCCTTGGTTTGCTGCCTCTACATGCACCCGGAGTGAGGCGACCAGTGGCTACATCCCGAGGACACCCCTGAGGAAAGGGATGCTCAGAGCCAGCTGCACTGCTGAGGTGAGTCTATCCCTTCTTCCTGGGTTTTCCCCGACTGTTTGGGAGGGAGGGAAAGGAAGTGGAGTGAGCTGGAATGTGTACGGATTGTTTGAGGGCATTTAACGGAATGAAATCCCTGCTGGATTGACTCTGTGCCAGCTGATAATCACCGAGTAATCTCAGTGCTGGCAGATTCTGCTCGGATTACAAGGGCATGTGTCTGTGTGTCAGGAGGTGTATGAGACCTGCTGGGCATCTCGGGGGGTGTGTCAGAGAAACCAAAAAGGGGTTTGACTGCAATGATTGGCTGCAGGAGAGAAATTTGGGCAAGTCTGTCACCTGTGTGTACAGGGGCATATTACAGTCAAGGGAGGAAGTCAAGGGAGAAAATGTGCTTTTCTCAATACGAGCAAGAGATGAGACTGGGAGGAAGCTGGTCCTGTGTATTTGCTAATGGAGAGAACTGGATCAGATAACATGATCTGTTAAAAGTAACTGTAGTAAAGTGTTTTCTAGGTGAACTTCCAAGTGCCATTGAAAATGTCTCCCTGCTAAAGGAAAGAAGGGAAGAGGAGGAGCATCATTATATATGTGAGTATTCTACTTTAATATAATATATTGTAGAATATATACAAGATAAAACAAAGTTAGTGTACAAACTGGACCTCAGAAAACCCAAGAACAAACATAGCTCTTTTAACACCTCTGGAGTTGCAGCAGTACTGAATTAATCCCTAACTGCCTTCTAGCATTGGGAATATCCAAAAATGCCTGCAGAAAGAAGGATGCAGTGATGCCACCTGGTGTATGTCCTCATGTGGAAGTTGTGACCATAATGCTTCACACAAAATATTGTGTGACTGATTTCCCAGCATGGTACATGAAGCTCCTGGCTCTGGTAGTTCACATGCAGCTACTCAGAGTACTTTCTAGAGGTGAAACCTCAACAAAATATCAAAATCTAGAAGTTAAATAAGAAACTACTATTAATTTGATGAAATAAATAAAATCTGGAAGTTAAATAGCTATTCGTTGCAAGGGGTTTTCTTCCTTCCTTTTTTAAGTGTGACTTTAATCCTAGTCTAAAATTTAAGTTCCTAGAAAGCAAGCTATTTTCTTTCCATTAGCTGTGGTCCTGAGCCTTTGTCTAAGGAGCCTCCTTATTTAAGACTCAGTCAAGGCTAGGATAAATAGGGTTAATATGATCCTGAGGATGCTAATTCTAATTTCTTTCCAGAACCTGTGATGGCTTCAACCTGGCAGAAAACTCAGGAATTCTACAACTGGGTTCTTGAAAGTGGAGGTAGGTAGAAATGCTGTTTTAAACAGGAATTTTTGCATAAGTAGCATGATCAAGGACAAACCTAGAGGGAACGTGATCCTCATAGGAGCCCACATTTTTTTCATCTGGCAGATTTCTCCATATATCTTAGGGACACTCCAGCTGGATCAAAGAAAGGAATGAAAGAATGGGGGATTTCCCCTGTCTCAGCAGCTTTATGTTCAATGTACAATGGTCTCTGAGAGGACGAGGAGCAATATATGCTCAGGATTGCCTGTTAAGTCTGGAATACTAAAGGAAGTGCATATTCATGTGCCATGGAAAATCTTATTAGACCAAAGAGTTAATATTTTGAGGTTTAAACTCTTTGTGATGCCAGTAAAACCCATTATCAAATGACATATTGACAGAAACCAGTTCTCAGTGGCTTGACATTTGATATTTTGCAGTGAGGAGACTTCAAATCTTCAATAGCTAGAGGTTCTGCCAATCCAGTTTGGTCCGAAAGGGCTCTGTTGGGTCCCTGGATGTAAGGAAAAGCCACAAAATGCCATTAAGGTAGAATGGCAGGTCTGCATCTTGGCTTTGGCAGGAGGAGGATGTGGGGCATGATGCTCAGACTGTAAATGTTTCAGGATTTGAATTTAAGGAGAGAGTGTAAATTAGGATTCAGGACTTCTGACAAACTGTTAAATAGAGAAATGGAATGCCAAACAGCTCCTGACACAGCCCTTTACAGCCATAGCAAAGAACTGGAAGGTTTAGAATGGATGGGGATTAACAGAGTCATGTGGACAGATGTAGAATTTAAAAGAAATAATCACCAGTGAGCCAATGACTAAAATTCAATAGAGGATTTCCACAAGCAACCCAGGGCTAAAACAGTGTGAGGGGTCTGGAGCTTGGGAGTGGCAGATCAGGATGCAAAGGGTGATGCTAAGGAAGTTTAACAGAGCAGTGACCACAATGGAAACAGGAGAGGAAAGCTTGAATGGGAACTGAATGCTTTTGCAAACAGAATGTATCTTGCACTTCTGTGGGTGATGAGGCAGGATTAGGAGGAGGTGGCATGACAGAAAGTCCATTGAGATTCCCTTTCCTGTAGGACTGAAGGGCTGTTTTAGCAGAGATAAGAGTTTGAATGTCATTTCCTAGTGAATACAGGTATAAAAATGAAGGTATGGAGAATTTCAGATGTCTTCTAGAATTGTGTGGCAGAAAGGAAATAATGGGAAAAGCAGGAAAGATTCGCACTCCTGAAAAGCCACTGTTGGTTTGGTTGGTTCTGTCCATCCCTGCACAGTGCCCTGGACTTCTTCTTTTGCCCAGGTGTGGGGCGGTCTTGCAGCCTGTGGGAAGGGGCTCCAGCTCATCACAGGAAAGATCTGTCTTCCAGAACTGCAGTCCCAGCCCCAGTGTTGTGCTAAAGCCTTTTGGCAGAGTCTGGCACGTGGAACTCCAGGGCAGGAGAAGGACTGTGGCAGAGCTTTGTAAAGACACCCGAGATACCAACTTTTTGTTTACCAGGGAGCGTGCTGAAGGGAGGTAAATGAAGATATCTGCCCTGCAGTGTGTGGGGTGTGCCAGCTTTGGCTGTGTGTTTTGCTTTTCAGATCCAAGGACAGACCCATGGCCACTGGTCTACTCTCCACTTCCAGTCACACTTATCTTAGCCTCCTACCTCCTTGTCGTGGCACTGGGGCCCTTCTTCATGCGGCAGCAGAGACCCCTGGAGCTCAGGGGCCTGCTGGTGGCCTACAATCTAGCCATGATGGCATTGTCATGCTACATGTTTTACGAGGTGAGGAGACAGGATTGGCTCCCGGGCAAGCACCTGGGAAGGGCTTGAAAGCCAGAACCATTTGAAACAGCATTTGTTGATGGACTTCAATGAAGGGAGTGGGAGCTGGTTTGGACGTGTCCCTGTTTTGCCACAAGAGGGGCAGTGTTGCCCTGCTGTACCACATTCCCTCCTGTTTCTCAATCTTCCTGTCATTCATAAAATTAACACTGAAACGTTCCTGAATGAATGAGCTGAAGGTTGAGATCTCCCTGTTAAACACAGAACGTATGGAGGACATGGAACCTCATTTTGTTTCATGACTGACTGGTGAGGGGACCTGTCTCTGAGAGTGAGGAACACTGTTCTAGTGGGGCGTGTCCCTGCACACGACAGGGGGGTTGGGGCTACATGATCTCTAAGGTCCCTTCCAACCTCTTAACATTCTATGATTCTATGATTTTCCAGACTTGGGCAGTCCTCTTCAGGAGTCAAGCCAAGCACACTGCGGCTTCTTGCTGCCGGGAGTGCTGAGGCCATTGTTTCCTGCTTCTTCTTTTTACAAACCTTTCCCTTTTTTATTTAGGCCACCAAAAACTCTTCAAGGGAATACAGCCAAATAGGTTCCAAAAACATTTTGATGTTGACAAATATGCCCTTTTAGTTTGTATCACAATTGTTACATTAACACAAACTGCATTTTTTTTTTTCTCTTTGAGCAAACATTACTTCATCTGAGGACCAGAATTCACTGTTCCTGATGAAGTAAGTTTGAGCACTCCAGCAATTACATAAGTAGCTACAAATATACCCAGGCCAAATTTTCTTTTTGAGATTCCAACAAGGATGTGAAGTACTTTGTTTTAGGTTTTTACTGTTTGCTCAGCTGTATAAATTACATGGATTTTCTGTCAGAGGGAATTAAATTACCTTATCATTAATGTGCATATCTTTTTGGAACAGATGACTTTGAACAGAAAATTGATTTCTATTGCTTTTCCTTTGTTTCAGTTTTTGGTAACTTCAGTCTTGGGCAACTACAGCTACCTGTGCCAGCCAGTGGATTACAGTCGGAGTGAACTAGGAATGCGGGTACAGTTCTATAGAAAGCTTGTTTTAGGCCCTGCCCTCCCATGGGTGTGAAGATTATTTTGCTCATAAAGAGCAGTTTGCATGCCTAAGAAGGCTTTTACTCCAATTTATTGCTTGTAAATCTATTTCACTAAATTATCTACTTAAACTGTTGCATTTCACTTTAGTTCTCTAAAATCAATCATCAGTCAACACAGCCATCTAAGTTTGCTCTTCGATCACTGCAGAGAGGTTGATCTTACATTCTGAAGATAGATATTTATTACAGATATTTCAAATTAACTCTGAAATATATGTAACTCTTTGCATTGATTGTAAGGATTCTGGTGATCGCTTTCAACAAGAAAACCAATTTTTATATCCTTAACTTTGCGTGACATTAGTCTTACTCAACATTTCCTTTAGCACAGGGATTTGGCTAAAATTATTCCTTGTCCGGTCATCACAGGGGGGTTGGGTCACACCAGCTTCAGCTTTCCAAAATGTTGCATGAGTTTTTTTTCAGTTAGAATTTGGAGGTATTATGCTTCGCTTCCAGATGTAACCAGGCTTTGAACAGATGCAAGCATGGATATTATCTTTTCAGCTTTTCAAATATTTGCTATCAGACAAAAACAAACCAAAAAAAAGCCCAGAAGAACTCCTTAATTTTTCCTGTTCCCGAGTGGGCAGGGTTCACATAGTGCATGGTTGAAAATATGTTGATTTTGGATAAAGGTCTAACCGCGGTGCCTTGTGCTGCCCAGCAGATGGCAAAAGTGTGTTGGTGGTTCTTCTTCTCCAAAGTCATCGAGCTGCTGGATACGGTAAGGAGGGCTGAGCTCCATAGCGGGATTGGTGCTGGAAATAAATCACTTCCTTGTCAGAAAGGGGCAGGGTGCCAAAAGTTAATGTCCTCGGCTGATCCTGTATTGATTTGCTCGGTGCTTTTCAGTAAGAGCTGATTTCCTGTGTTGTGCTCTGCCTGTTTGTGGGAATGAAGGCTGATGCTGTTAAAGAAGAGGGCTCAGCTTCTGCAGGCTGCTTTTTGACAGTGTTTGGGCTGTGAGAGCCCAGCAGCACCGCTGGATACTGTGCTGCAAGGCTTCCTCAAAAGCTTCTTTCCAGGAAGGAATTGCTGCTGCCTGATTTGTCTGTCTCCATCCCAGTGGCTGCACATCCTCACTCCTCAGCACTCTTCCCGTGGGTGGGCACAATGCTAAGGGAGAGGCTTTCACCTTGGCTATTGCAGGGGGGTCCCCCAAAATCTTCGCTGCTGTGCCACTGCCAGTCTGGCAACAGTGGTTTAATACTGGTTAGTTGGGCAGTAAAGAAACTGCAAGTGGACAATGTGTTCTGGTGTCTTTGCTGCCACAGATTGTCCCAAAGCTGTGCACTAAAGGTTTGTGCCCCATGTGACATTGAAAGCTCACCTGAAAGAAGTACCACTTCATAAAGGAAGTAACTAAATGACTGAACTAACAAGGAAATCCCACCTCCCTGCTTGCTCAGCAGAAGAAAGCTGTGTTCTGGCCTAAATCTTCACAGTCTAGTGTTCTTTGGGGACAACACACTGTCTGAAATGTGAATCAGCATCCAGAGCCCTTCTAGGCCCATTGCCAGTGGTTTGGCCATTCCTCTCTCTGTTTCCATCAGCAACAAAAGCAGCTTTTTGACAATCCTAAGTCCCTGAAAAGCAGGTTCATTTTTTTGTTATGTGTGTAAGCATGTGCATGCTGAAATACAGTGACCTGACACATACTCATCTGGCAAAACCATTCTCTTTACTCATTCAAATTCCAGAAAGGTTTGGGCATTCAACACAGTGCTTTTTCTTTGGATTGTTGTCTGGTACCAGCAAACATCTAACCTATGTCCTGAAACCAACCAGACCCAAGCAGCTGCAAATTGTATGGAAGCTCAGTCAGAGACTCAAATGTATCCTCTTCAGACCTTGGGACCTGAATCCAAAGATAAAAATTGTGGCTCTGTGGGAGAAATTCTGCTTTCCAGTTTCCCCCCATTCTAGATAATATAAGATCTATTGCACGTGTTGTTTTTTCACCAGTTTTTATCAAGAGCAGAGCAAATGGGTTTGGGAGACTGAGAATCATCACTAGCTATTTTTATAACTTTTTATTGTGAAATATTTAGTCTAAACACATAGAGTTAAGGTTTTCCTTTGTCTGGCTTCTTCCAGGTTTTCTTTATTCTGCGCAAGAAACAAGAGCAGGTGACTTTCCTTCACGTGTACCATCATGGCACTATGCTGTTCAACTGGTGGTCAGGGGTCAAATATGTGCCTGGAGGACAAGGTAGGTGAGAAAACCTAGTGTTTCAGGGTTTTTTTGGGCTGTGGAGGTAGCATTAACAGTGCAGATGGGCTGACTGGCAGGTAGGAAGCTCACCTAGTTCCAAAGGTGTGAAAAACATGTGCATTTGAGATGATACCATCTGCTCTGCTCTTTGGGCTATTTAGACTGCTACATTCACTGCATCATCCAGAATGAGAATGTGCCAACAGAATGTGTCCAAACAGAAGAAATAACATCCTACACAAGGTCTATGTATGTCTCATCCCCGATCAGCACTCCCTTGCTTCCCACTCGGAGGGCCTGGTGCAGCAGCCCAGGTTCTGACTCTCCATTTCGTTTACTTCTCTTTCTGATCTGGACCCAGAGTGCTTCTCTGGAAGAGAAGCATCTGAGTACTAATTAGGCCCTATACGAGATGCTAGGGTGTTCCTTTTCGGGAAGCCATTTCGGCTACATGGTGTTGACACCAGAATGTCATGAAATGCTTAGGTCAGAAGATAAAAAATTCTCTTCTCTGCCTTTGAAGCTCTTCTCTGTCTCCAAAGTCTACATATGAGCTGGAGATATTGAGATACCCCAACCCTGGCACTGTTCAAGGCCAAGTTGGACAGGGCTTTGAACAACCTGGTCTAGTGGAAAGTGTCCCTGCCCATGGCAAGGGGATGGAACAAGATGGTCTTTCAGGTCCCTTCCAATCCAAACCATTCCATGATTCTCTGATTCTGTATGCTGAAAGGAGAAGGAAGAAGAGGGCATGCTTCCAAGACGGAGCCTAGACTGAAGGTTCATGCGTAGGGGTGATGTGATGTTTTTTGAAAGCATCATCATAGTGTCTGTGAGCTCTTCACAGAGTTCGTCTTGCGTGGGTTGTGTGTCTTGTTCATCCTCACTTCTTCACTCCTCAGCCTTCTTTATTGGGATGCTGAACTCCTTTGTCCACATCTTCATGTATGGCTATTATGCCCTGGCCAGCCTGGGACCACGGATGCATCGTTACCTGTGGTGGAAGCGCTACCTGACCATCATGCAGCTGGTAATTAGTTCCCTGTGTTCATCTCTGCACTCCTCTGTGTTGGGTGTGATGGCCCCTGCTGTCTGGCACCTTCCTGGCTCAAGTCTTTGTTTGCTTCCCACAGAAATCACCATGTCCTTAGGTGTCCTTATGTACCACTATGACAGGTGAACCCGCTCGGAATTTCAGAAAACTCATGAGGGCCCTTCAGTGACCAAACAATGAGCCCCGGCTTTGTAATGGGAAGGAGAGGAAAAAAGTTAACCCTGTGGTTTTACGGTTAGATTTCTCCCTTTTATGTTTCCTCTCTGGAGCCCTGGAAACTCACCTTGATTTTGGGAGGTGTGGGGCAGTAACTCAGGGAAGCTTTGGATTCCCAGTAGGGCAGGAGATTGGGCAGCCTTCATTAGGTTCCTTCGAAAAGGAAGGGTGTGTCTAACTGCCAGCAAACAGGTCAGTTAAAGAGAAATATGTGAGTTTGACTCTTTCTGCAGAGTATCCCTTCGGATTTTCTTTCCCACATCTGTGAAGAGGTGACAAATCCTGAAAACCCTGTGTTTTTTCAAAGATACACCATAAATGCAATGTTCCAGACAAGGGCAGTGATTGTAGGAGAGTTATTTCCACACAAAGAGAAGTTATGGAAACAAAAAGTATGCAATTACCAGAGAAGAGGAAGAGGGTATATATATAAAATAGTGGTGCAGTGAAGGCTGGTCCAGAGTTATTACTTATCCTGAGTGGCAAAGTAGAACAAAAAAGCATTGAATAAAATGAAAAAGTGTTTGTTCCACGAATTATAGCTCAGGAAATAAATTTTTATTTAACATCCTTTTGGTAGGTAGAACTCATTGCTTCAGGGTGTTGAGACAGGTCACTTAGTAACATACCAAAAAAAAAAAAAAGAGGATTAATGTTTATATTAACAAAGATAGTATCTGTAATTCCTCTCTGCAAGCTAAAATGCAAATAAAAATCTTCCTGAGTATAATAATCTGATTATCAACGGGGAGGAAACCTCTGGTTTCCATATTCCAAGATCTCAGCTACTGGCCCATGGCAGAGGAGTGGCACAAGGGCAGTGATCTGCTCCTTGCAGAAGAGGCTGGATTCCAAACCTGACCCCTGAAGCGGTGGACAAGCCTCAGTGTTTGATGGACAGTTGACACCCTTCCATGTTGGGAAAACACCATGGAGCTTGAAAGGCAAGTTTTCCAGGGACATCAGGAGAGGCAAGCAGGTGGTGCTCTGGGTTGAGGGTACTGCTAGGATGTTGTGGCAGTTGTTGTGGTGGCCCTAGTGGTCAGTTGAGCTATACCTCAGGTAGGTTCCCTAATCCGGCTTCTTCTTTTTCCCCCCTCTTCCAGTGCCAGTTTGTGGCCATTGCTGCTCATTCTTCCTACAACCTCTTCACAGAATGCCCGTTCCCAGATGGCTTCAACACTGCAGTCTTCCTCTACATCCTCAGCCTCATGGCTCTCTTCCTACACTTCTACTACCGGACCTACATTAGGGGGAAGCAGAAGAAGCTCACTTAAAGAAAATCAAATAGGACACTGAGCAGAGGCTGAGGAACTTGCACATTCTCTGCTGCTTCTAATGGGGTTGCAGGAAGAAAAATGTCTTTTGGGGAGTGTGTGTGAGGCTCATGTCCTGCCTTCAAACACCTCAAGTTAGGGAGAGAAAAGGAAGGACAAAGCCAGGGATTAAGGTATTGAGGAGCTTGTTTAATAAGGCTGAGGTAAAGCTAAGCCAAGTAGTCCCCAGCATAGCAGGCTTTGTGAAATTAGCACAGGAAGCTCTTTTTCCCTCCCATCAGTTTCCAAGGTCTGGCATCCAACCACAACTCCCTTGTCTCATTTCTTAGGCTGTAGAGGGTTTCTTTGCATTAATAAAATTATCTCAGCTTGCTGCTCTAGATCAGGCAGGGCCATGTGCCTCCAGCCTTGTCCAAGCAATGTCCAAGTAGCCAGGAACTCACTGGGACTGCAGGATGCACTCACCTGTACACTGCATCCCAAAGCTCCTGCTAGAAATGGGGTGAAATACAGCTATATGACCCTAATGGTTTAACTTTATATAAGCATGAGCATGAAGGAAGTTGGACATTATGTTGTCTGGCTGGACAAGTCCCTTCACTGTCCTGAAGTGAAAGAAGGCATTTTCAGCACTTTCATCCTAAGGAAGTGCAGCAAGAACCACCATGTACCATTTTCTGGAATGCTTATTTGCCTTTGGTTGCTCTCATAACAACAGAGAACTTTTAATGCATGAAGACTACTTGGTATTGCTCCTGATAGGTGCCATAATTTTACTAGAATGAATAGACTGAGGTTCCCTATTCAGAACATTTTTCCCCCAATTTTTTATTATTTTTAATATTATTATTTTAAAATTTTGCTTCTCATCAAACATGAAGAGTTTAACAACACCATAAGCAACCACCTCCACTACCTAATATTTGTATAAATACCAAATTATAAAGTCGATTCATTGCCTAGTGCAGGGCTGCATAGCTCCACTGACTTTAACACATTATTTATTGGCTTCTGTTTTACTCCTAAATCCATTACAGCTAGGATTTTGCACTTATATTCATCTTCAGACAGTTAAATACTGTTAAAGTTTTGATGTGGCAGTGCTTTGAAGAGCCTAAATTCAGATTTTAAACTACGAAGTGGCATTTATTTATTGCACTCTGCTTTGTTGACTAAAACTAGTAGTATGGAGTAGTGATATTTTCACAGTTGAAACACAAAGGTCGTGAAGGAGAGGATTAGAATTGGTAACATGGTGCATTGCCATTGCCAAGCCAAATCCACCTTGAATGTAAAAAAGTCTGACTCCACTGGGAATGTCCAGAGGACTAGAGCTAGTCTGAACCACAATGACACATCTTAAACATCATTCCTTTAATTTGAGTAGTCTTTCTTCTGATTGTTACTGGTGAGTATGGAAAGCAGAGCAGGGCTTATTTTTACAACTGTGCAAGTTGGTTTTCTCCCTGTCAAATATTTTTCCGTGCTAATTACTAAATAAATGATCCTGCTTTTGCATACTGGAATTCTACTTTTGTTAGAATTTTAAGTAGCAAACCTCTGGGTGGGTCCCTCATTCTTCCCTTTCACTTTAGTTGGAAAGGCAGGAAAAAAAGACCTGCACTGTATCTCACGTACTGTGCTCATTTTGAGGATTTCCCCTGGGGCCTCTCCAGCACTGAAGACTCAGTGCAAGCAAAGCTGTTTCATTACTCCTGTCCGCTTAAATACTCACAACCCTCTCTTGCTTAAACCATCAGTACATTGAGCCCTCTCATTTCATGGTAGAACATAATTTCCTGCAGCTGAGTGAATGATCTGTGCTTACAAAGCAATCTAATGCTCTTTCTCACGTGCATGAGGGGATCATGAGTAGGTCCCAGCTTCAGTTTCCCCTCACATAAACTTTTTCAGATTGCAGTTACTGATTTCAAAGGCTTCACTAATAATTTTACACCAGAGTAAGCATCACATATTTTGATTTTCCTTGATTCATTCATAATTCACAACTGCTTAAAGATTAGAAATGAGCAGGAAATTTGAATGAGATTACTCCATGCTTTTGCAAATCCACTGCTTCTTAAAATGTATAAATTTGTAAACATGCCATCTAGTTTGTTTTTTTTTTTAAAGCAACCTGTGCAGCTGAATTTGTATCTGTGTATGACAGAGCTTCCTGTCATGGATTCTGGAGTGTGACTGGCCACATAGCTGGTAACAAAATACAAAAGTGTGAATTTGTCACCTGACAACTTGAAATAAATGACTGGTCACCTAAATCAGACACCACTGACAGTATTTGTCCTAGACATGCAACCTTTCATCTACCTGTTCCTGTCCCTCTTCCTCACAGCCTGAATGAGGGGCCTGATCTTGCATTTTTGAATTGGTAAGAGCTTTTTGTCAGTGTCACTTGAATGCCATAGGATGAAAATGAAGTATTTTCTGTTGATTGATAAGGAGGGATTAAGTCTGCCCAGAAACACCACAGAGGAATAGGCATTGGAGTGGAGTACAATCCTTACAGAAGCATTGATGCAAGCAAAATTCACTTGTGAGAGTATTTGCACTAGCAGGGAAGATAAAATTGGATTGGTGTATCTGAGTGGCTCTGCAGGTCTTGATACTTTATTCCTTCAGAGTTCACTTACTTGTCTTCATTCTGTTTTAAATTGTGTTGTCACAGTTGGAACTGTCCACCTGGGCCATTCTGTTGTAACAAGAGCAAAAACTTGAGAGTACAGGTATGTGCCCCTGGATTTAGCAGAAAATAAAGGCTGGGGTGTTACTCAAGCTTAACATGACATTTAAGGGCAGAGTTGTGTGTAAGTCTCCCCCTTATAAAATGTGGGTCATTATAGTTCTTAGAGTAGTTTACATGAACAAGATGTAAAGCATAATGGAAGTAGTCTGTTTAAATGAATAAGCTTGATATCTGCTAGTGCTCAGCATCTTTCCTGCTGTTCCAGTCAATGTAAATTATGGATGTTGTGATCAAATTACTTTTGAATTAACCAGACCATTTACTCAATGCTTACTTTCTGTCTGAAGATAAATGAGAGGGATACTCATTTTAATCAAAACAAAATACAGAAAAGAAAATCAATTATTATTTAATGTTTTTTCCATCCCTGTGTGATGGAAAGTTTCCAGAGGAACCTGGGCTTAAAATTGCAAAGCAAAGGCAGGAACGTGGTTGGGTTTTAACTATTGGATTTTTATATAGTATCAGAAAATATAGTGGTGTGTGTTTTTTTTTTTAAAGGCAAAAGAATTACTCTAAACAATTAATCAAACAAAAGCAGAATACAGCAGATTGCTTCGTACAAAAAATAAAAATCTATGATAGAGGTGTAAAACACCTACTAGCCAACAACCCTATATATAGAACAGTGTGAATTTGCTGAATTCATTAATGAATAACTTCATGGATTAGGGCTTGATAGATGGAGTGCTCACATCCAGATGTTTACTGTGATTTTTTCAATGGCCTTGTAGTTAATCCTCCTGAACAGGAAATACGAGTCTTTTCCCTGGGGTCTCTCCTGGGGACTGTGGCAGTCTCTCTCTCTGGCCTGAATCATCTCAACACAGGATCAGGCTGCAAGGAATTAACCAAGTGGCGGGGGCACGGATTTGCCTTTAACCCCTTCGGTGTCTTCTCGGCTTCACATGATTTCCTCACCATCTGCCACAGTGGCACTGTTATTTAGTCAACACATGGAGAAGAAAAAAAAAAAGGAGTCACCCCATGAGGCACATTAGTGGGGTCCCTGTCTCCTGTGGGGAGACACACGGAGCCCCACTGCCACAGAGAAGCAAGGGGGCTGTGGGCAGATTAAGCCTTGAGGCTGGTGTGCATCTCTCCACATCTCAGCATTTTGTATTTATTTTTGTGATGCTGCTACTCATTGTCAGTCATAGGGATGGCCCAAGAGGGAGTATCTGTGAAAAGACTGGTTGACCCTAAGGTGTCCTTAGTCAGGTGCACCAGAGGGTGTGTAGTGTGTGTGTAGGTGTGTTTGGGTGTGGGTAGGTAGAATCACAGGATCACAGAATGCAGGAAGGGGACCTTAAAGACCATCTCATTCCAACCCCCTGCCATGGGCAAGGACACCTTCCACTATCCCAGGTTGCTCAGAGCCCCATCCAACCTGGCCTTGGACACTTCCAGGGATGGGGCAGCCACAGCTTCTCTGGGCAACCTGTGCCATAGGCGCATATTTTTCAGGTCCCTGACATGATGGCTCTGCTGGGCATAAGGATGTGATCCTTGTTTTCTCCCCATGGAAGTGTTGGTAAGGTAGTGTTGTGAGTACAACCTGCCTTTAGGTGAAAGAGAATCTCTGGCTTGGGCAGCATTTTTTCTGCAAAACTTGTATGAACCGTTCCTAGGTATTAGTTGGCAAAGTAGGGAATCTTAAAAGAATTGGATTTAGGCCGCCCCTTGATGCTGCCTAGCCAGGTGAGTCCCACTTTTCCAGCCTCAGGAGAAAACCTGCAAATGAGGCTGTGGGATAAGTCACTAATGCCATTGTGTGGAAAAGATGGGGGGGGGAAGCAACATCCCAGTCACAGGACAGGACAATAGGTGTTATAACTGGATTAGGAGATCTGAGTGGCAGTGGGAGATGGAGAGAATGCTAAATTTTGGTGTGGGTGTGCTGGAGGGTTAGGGACTGATTTCATGTGTGCAGGTGCTCAGGTTGGAAGTACTTTTGGCTAAATCACAAGTATGGGGACAAATAAAGTCTTTATCAGGGAGTGCCTAATTAAAACATTAACAGCACATCTCAGCACTTGATATGTTTCCCTATTCTGCATGTCATTTTTTCTCTCCAGTATCTTGGCTTTCTGCTGGTAGGACTGCTCTTCAAGAAAGAGTTTGGGGTGTTTACACCAAACTCAAAAAATGAAGTCTATTAAGCAAAAATTGCCCTTTAAAACTCCCTGCTTGGAGCAGATGTTTCTTCCCCTTTAACATCATCCTCCCCCTTTTTCTTCACCCTTTTCTCCCTACTTCCTTTGTACCCACATCTGCAGATACCATACTAAATTCTCAGAACTGGTAAAGCTGCAAAATAGTCACAAGTTACTCAAACGTTATACAAGCAGCTGTATTTTCCTGAGATATCAATTAATAACATACGTTTTCTTCATAGGGTTTTCTGTGAGGCTTTCATCCTGATGAATTTGGGCAAGTCTTTCTCTGCACTTTAGCATAATCCCATCTGCCTGCAAATTCAGGATGTGAACACCACAATGCAGTATTTAGAAAGGCTAGAAACCTGGTTTGAAGGGAGAATTTAAATTCAGCGTAATCTCTCCCAGGCGCTCCCTATTATTGATGAAGGAATGACATAATGGATACAACCATTTGAGAGGCAGCAAGTTTACTAGCCCTCTGTGCACTTTATTGTGCTCTCTGTGGTGCCCATCATCACAAATGTCTGGGGATGTTTCCTCTTGAAATATTATTATTCCTGAGGCAATGTTTGGAGGGAGAATGCCTTGCATTAAAGCAGCTGACAGAGCTGGAAAACCAGATTAATTTTGCAGTGTGGAAGCCCTTCTTTGGTTATAATCCCTGACATTCCTTGGCAACAGATCAGCTACTACTTGTTGGAGTGCACAGGTGTGTTTATGGTGTGTCTGTATTTATTGTGGACTTTGCTAGTCCCAAGGGCTGTTATACTACATTTTGCAAATTTGATACATTATTCCATTAAATAGCTTTAAATCAGAGGGCTGTTCTTTTCAAAGAGGCTGCTCTAGAAACTTATCTGTAACTTTGCTTCTAGGAATTACTTGTGTGAGTAAAGAGGTCCTTTACTTCACTGGCACGGTGGCAAAACAGGTCAGTGATTCTGTACTCAGTTCTCAGAGGTAAATTACAGAACATGGGCAAATCACCAGTTACAGAAACTATTTAATGCAATTGTGGTTTTCTATTTTGGCACTGCCTTTAATATCTTTGGGCATATTTAATACACAGAGGTAATGTTTTAAATTAAGGGAAAACCGCTACGCACGGTGAATGTATGTAAACTGCTTGATGGAGCTATGAATATTACCATAAGGATTCAGGAAAAATGTCTCTGCAGTGATGCCAACTGGAAAGCAAAACTTAATTTCATGTTTACACTCGATTTTGTTAGAAACCCAAAAACGCCACAAGAGTGGAGTGGTGTATATGCAGATAGGTTCTCATCCTATGGTATTTATATACATATTTAGTATATTCACTGGTAGACCTTGAATAGAATAAATGATTTCATGGTTTGAATACAGAAAGTGAGATCTTAGCATGGACTGTATTACTGAACTGTAACTGAAGTCATTGTGCAAAGCTGCTTCAATTCCTTTTCTCTAATGAAATGTGCATCTACTGAAATGTTTCAGACTTGGATATGGGTTTAAGAATGCATCACAGGGAGAGAATAGCCCCGTTTGCAAACGCTCACATAAAGGTAGAAATGTTGTCTGCTGGCATGGGAAGCACCTTTTGGAGCTGCACTAATTCCATGAGAAACCGGGGGGAGGAGGAGAGGGGGAGAGCAACCGCAAATCTAAATAAAAATACCCAATCCCTTCCTTTGTTCTCATTCCACTGGGAAAAGCGCGGGGGCAGATACACGCCAAGAGGCGCCAGGAATCCCCGGGGCTGTCGGTTCTGATTTTCATTAGAGGTGAGTGGGGGTTTGCAGCTGCGCGCAATCCCTTTAGCGAGCAAATCCACGCGTGGGGGGCCGCTCCGTAATCCCCGGGCGCGGCGGGGGCGAGGGCTGGGGGAGCGTGCGGGAGCCCCGGGGGGCGGAGGGCGAGCTCAGCCCTCCCTCCCCGGGCACAGGTACCCGCGGCGCCCGCCTTCCCGCATCCCCGGAGCGCTCCCCGCGCCGCGAAACCTGTGGGCATCCCCAGGGCACGTGTGGGAATCCCACGGTTGGGACCCGCTCCCAGAGCTCATCCGCGACTCGACGCGGATCCCTTTTGGTGGGGCGGGGCGGGGCGCGGTGGGATAGGATGCGCGGCATCCCGATGGTCCCCGGGGGATGCTGGCGCTGCCTGCACGGGGGCGCGGAGCAGGAGGGATCCTCTTTGACGTCAAGCGCCCATAATATAATGATCGCTCGTTCATATCCGGGTCCCCGGGCGGCTCCCCCGGGCCGCGCTCGGCCGCGCTCGGCCGCGCAGTGAGGGGAGGCGGGTCGGGCAGGGCAAGGCAGGGCAGGGCAGGGCAGGGCAGGGCAGGGCGGCCGCCCGGAGGTGCCCGGCGGCGGCGGCAGCGGGGCCGGCGAGCGCAGCATGCCCGCCGCCTCAGACGCGCCTGCCTCTCGCCGCCGCTGCCGCTGCTGCCGCTGCTGCCCATGGAGATCGCGCTGGTGACTCTGGAGAACGGCGGCACCACGGCCATCGCGGGTGGCGAGGATGCCGCGGCCGCCGGCGGCCGGGCACGCTGGCGGGGCAACTTGCTACACATCGCGGGCTCGCCGCAGCTGAGCGACGGCAAGGAGGGAGCCCCGCCGCCCGCGCCGCCGCCGATGCCACCGCCGCCGGGGGACGAGGAGCCCGAGCGGCCCCCGCCGAGGGACGAGGAGCCCAAGCGGCCCCCGCCGAGTCCCCGCGGGAGCGGCCCCGAGGAGCGGCGGGCGGAGGGACGCGCCCCCCCCGCGCCGCCCCGGCCACCGCCCCGCGCCCCGCGCCCCGGCGCGGACGTGGGACCCCCGGAGGAAGGGGGACACCGCCGGGGCATGGCCATGGCAGCGGCGGGAGACGAGGAGGAGGAGGCGGCGGCGGCGGTGAACCCGGGCGCCATGCACCACCAGCGGGTGCTGATCAACATCTCCGGGCTGCGCTTCGAGACCCAGCTGGGCACCCTCAATCAGTTCCCCGACACGCTGCTGGGGGACCCGGACAAGCGCATCCGCTACTTCGACCCGCTCCGCAACGAGTACTTCTTCGACCGCAACCGGCCCAGCTTTGACGGCATCCTGTACTTCTACCAGTCCGGGGGAAAGCTCCGAAGGCCCGTCAATGTCTCCATCGATGTCTTCGCCGACGAGATCCGCTTCTACCAGCTGGGTGAGGAGGCCATGGAGCGCTTCCGGGAGGACGAGGGCTTCATCAAAGAGGAGGAGAAGCCCCTGCCCCGCAATGAGTTCCAGCGCCAGGTCTGGCTCATCTTTGAGTACCCCGAGAGCTCCAGCTCAGCCCGGGCCATCGCCATCGTCTCCGTGCTGGTCATCCTCATCTCCATCATCACCTTCTGCCTGGAGACCCTGCCCGAGTTCAGGGACGAGAGGGAGTTGCCTGTGCCCCTGCCCCCACAAGGTGGAGGTTTGAATGGCACCACCGGGGACTCCCCACCCATGCAGCCCCCCAGCAGCCTGGCTGACCCCTTCTTCATCATCGAGACCACTTGTGTGATCTGGTTCACCTTCGAGCTCCTCGTGCGCTTCTTCGCCTGCCCCAGCAAGCCCGAGTTCTCCCGCAACATCATGAACATCATCGACATCGTGGCCATCATCCCCTACTTCATCACCCTGGGCACCGAGCTGGCCCACGAGCAGCAGCAGCCTGGGGCTGGCAGCAGCAATGGGGGAGGGGGCCAGCAGCAAGCCATGTCCCTGGCCATCCTCAGGGTCATCCGTCTGGTCAGAGTCTTCAGGATCTTCAAGCTCTCCAGGCACTCCAAGGGGCTTCAGATCTTGGGACAGACTTTGAAAGCCAGCATGAGGGAGCTGGGCCTCCTCATCTTCTTCCTCTTCATCGGGGTGATCCTCTTCTCCAGCGCTGTCTACTTTGCTGAGGCCGATGACCCCGAGTCTCATTTCTCCAGCATCCCTGATGCTTTCTGGTGGGCAGTGGTAACCATGACTACTGTGGGCTACGGGGACATGAGACCTGTCACTGTGGGGGGCAAGATTGTGGGCTCCTTGTGTGCCATTGCAGGTGTGCTCACCATCGCCCTCCCTGTCCCTGTCATTGTGTCCAACTTCAACTACTTCTACCACCGAGAGACTGATCATGAAGAGCAATCTATCCTCAAAGACGAGCACAGTAGTGCTCAGGGCAGCACAGCGGGGGCAGATGCGAAGAGAAGACCCAGTACAAACTCTCTGAACAAATCTGTTGTGCACTTGGAAAACAGTGAGGAGTTCAACAATGGCACCAGCTCCATAGAAAAAGCCACTATCAAGGCGAAAAGCAATGTAGATCTCAGAAAATCCCTCTATGCTCTCTGTCTGGACACCAATAGGGAAACAGACCTGTAAGGAGAGGAGAGAGTTAGAGTTCAGAGATGTAGAAAGATTTACTGGTGTCAGAAACTTGCTACTATAATTATTCTTTTAGTACCAATTAGTTTTTTAAGTCAGGCTGTATTTTCTAAACTGATCACTGTCCTGAGCAGTCCTCCAGGAATACATGTTTTTATGTTCTTTTTCCATGACACAAAGGGTCACCTATTTTTAAAGTAGACTAAGAATAAGCTACGCTCCATGATGCAGGAGCTGGTAAATTATGACAGTAAAAAATCTAATTTGTAGAAACTTACTGTAGCAAATGGTGGTTGGTTTTAAATGGGTAATTTGTAACCAATTCAGTTGCTCCAAGTTTAGTATTAAAGAGTTGGGGGAGATGTGTGCGTGGAGAATGAATGGACTGGGGGGGGAGGGAGGTTGAGGGCTTTTGTACTGTAGTTTCAAATTGAAATAATTCCAATATATTTTATATCTGTATGAGTGTATTTATGGTTGAGAGGGGATTTCTTATTCCTGTGAAATATGACATCATTAAAGCACTAGGAACATTAGCAGATCAGCACTTTCAGAGTTTTCCACTTGTGATCAATACAGATCTGGTTATCCTGTATGTGAAGTGAATTTGGTGCTTTGAACCCTATAGCAGAAAACTTCTGTTGTCTTGATATGTTAGTTTCTTGTGAGCCTTAAATTATTAAATATTGTAGATATACTTCTTTATAAATAATTTTATTACCTTCCTGTTTCAGAATTTCTAAATAATTCAGTCATGTGCTTACTGTCCCCACCCTGAAAGTATGTGCAGCTTTTTTTTTTTGGTAGTTTTAGAGTTTTATACCTTTGTTATATTTTTGAGACTGAAAGTATCTTTTCCGTCTGCTGTTACTGGTTTCTATCCAAGTGCACAACAGATCAAAAGCATGAGGGAGTGGACAGACATAACAAGAAAGTAGAATATCAGTGCAATATCTGCAAAACTGTTTTCGTTGTATGCTCCAGATTACTTTGGCACGTGTATCAGTCACCTTTATGTATGCACACACCACTTGTGTACACAGTTCACTGGTTTTAGTGATAACAGACTGGGAATGGATGGCACTTGAGGAGTCTAATGTGGCAAGCCGTGATACTTCAATAACCATTGCGTGGCTTATATCTCAGACTGGGATGGAGAGCATCATCTTTCATCAGAACACATCCTCGTTTGCTTTTTATTTCCAAACAAAACCTTCTCAGTGCTGTGGATTTTACAGTTAAGATGACGTTGAAGGACGAGTGACACATTCATTGTCTTCATCAGCGTGGTACAGTTTGCTAGTGAAGACTGACACGAAGTTGCTCCTTTAACTCAAAGAGCTGTGTTACCTTTTTTCTTGCAAAGGACATCTCTGTTTCCCCCTCAAACTCCTGTTTTATTGCTGAAGGATGTTCCATGCCTTTCCCACACACAGTGGCACAGCAAGACTAACAGAAAAAGAAGGCTTGGATGTCAACACTCCAGGTTTGTTTCTGACAAATTTTCTAATATAACTAAGTAAATCTCAGTCAGGATTATAATTTATGCAAGTACCTCAGATGTATGTACTGCCATAAATTTAAATCAGCTTTGCAGAGCAGCGCTCTGACATTCTCTTTAGCCAGACACAAATGCTGCTTCCCTGCCCCTTACTGTAGCCTCTAAAGATAATGCCCAAATGCATCATGTTTTTTTTCCTTCCTATTCAGTAAAATAAGTGCCAAGCAAGTCGTATTTTTCATGAATACAGAGCTCAGCCCAAACCCCTGGGGTGAGAGGAAGGATGTTGAATCTGATAATAGAGAACAGCATCTTTCACGTTAATTTTAGGTGTAGGTTTCTTGTTTATTTGTTTATTTAGGTGGGATGTGATGCCATAATACGCTGAGAAGCTTCAACAAGACTGACAGGCAAAGTGTCCCGTGCAGCTGCACTCCAGTCTCAGGCAGATCTCCTGTTTGCTTTGATGGGAGTTTTTGCATCAAAGGGAAGTGCAGAATCAGCTCTCTGGGGAGGCTGAATCTAAGATGAAACAAAGAAGTGCTATAATTCCCTGTTGCACATGCTGAGATCTAGATCACTGAAGAACTTAAAGCTTTTTGCTCAGGTGAGTAGTTTGATTTGCTTTCACCAATCAAATCCATCTGACTCACCTGAAGAAGTACCAAGCAATTCAGTGAGTCTTTTAGGATAAAATGTTGGGTTTGTCTTTCTGTAACTACTCCCCCCAGCTTCCTGATCAGTTTTGCCAGCCAGAGTTTGGTCTTCCAATTGCATGTTGTGTTGAATTGGACTGTCAGCTCCTCCGAGCAGGGACAATGTGTTCATAACAATCCCTTGTTTCACAGTAGAACCCTGCATATGGATATTAGTGATCTGAATTACATCACTGTAGTTATTGCATTTAGTGGAGTAACACTAAGCTGATGTAGGTTAAAAAGAGATCAGGGCTATGGGGGGTGGGATGAGCCGATCTTAAAGCCCACTGGTGATCTAAAGGGAAGACTTTGTCTTCCTCCCTCCTTTTCAGTTTTCCCCTTCCCACTGTGTGCCCTTTTGTTGCTTACGCTGAACTGGTTCTGTCCTTGTGGAAGTGCAAGCGCTGCCTTCTCTTCCAGGAGCTGCTTGAGCTCACTCACCTGACAGAAAATCCAATGCGGCAACAACAAAGTAGATCTTTTTCTGTCAAATTAGTGAGTTGGAAAGCAAGTGAGTGCCAGAGCCAGTGAGAGGAAGGGATGGGAGAGGTCAGTGGTGCAGGGAAGTGGGAAGCAAGGGGGAGTGAAATCCTCACCCTTCTGTGGCAGTGAACTGTGACATTTTCAGGGCTGCTTGTTAAACCCTACTTCATGTTTGCAGAGACACCATAGGACTAAGTCTTGCAAGGTGCTGAGGGCCTTTAACTTCCCATGAGAGCCAAGCTGCTAAATTCATCTTCAGATTCTAGCATATAGAATCACAGAATGGCTTGGGTTGGAAGGGACCTTAAAGATCATCTTGTTCCAACCCCCCAGTCAACCTTGTCCCCAAGGCAGGGACAGCTTCCACTAGACCAGGTTGCTCAGAACCCCATCCAACCTGGCCTTGAACACTTCCAGGGATCCACAGTTTCTCTGGGCAACCTCTTCCACTGCCTCACCACCCTCACAGGGAAGAATATTTTTCTAATCTCTAATATGTGCCCTGCCACAACTGAGAGTAGAGTTTGTCCAAACAAAAACCAAGCCTAGTGAAAGCAAAATACCCTGACTGCTGCAAAGAGTTCTGTACAAACTTGTCAAATCATTCCTCAGCCTTCAGTTTGAATATACTGTGTTTTGCCATAATAATGCAACAGAACTTTCCAATAAAAAGAAAAACAATTGTTCTCAAAATATGGCTGAAAATATTTTTTTTGCTTGTGTTTCTAAAGAGTTATCAAGCACAGTTCAGGCAAACTCGGCTTTGACACCTTCTTTACAAATAATGCATAATTTCTATTGGCTTTTAAGGCAGTAGAGAATTTGCTTTCTAGTGAGAGAGACTGCTGCCAAACACTGAGTGGTATGACCAGCAAGGCATTGAGTGTGGGCTCAGCTTTAAGCACATGCTTAAAGTAACATAGTGCTCAGCAGGTGTTTTTGATGGACTGATCTTTGAGACTGAGTTTTGAGATCAGGAGTTGGACTTTGATGATCCTTTGTGGGTCCCTTCCAACCCAGGGTATTCTGTGGTTATTTGAAGATGAACTACATACTGTGCTGAAACCTTGGCCTTCTCCTCAGACTTCGGGGCAAATATGTAAGTTTGTGGTACAGTTTGTGAGTTGGAAAAGAAGTGGTTCTGTAGCACACTGTGTTGGAAACACCAGATTGTTACTAGAAAGAGGGCCTGTTTCTGTAGCCACTAACTCATCAGAGCAGTCCTCTTGACATGATCCACTGATCCTGTCAGGATCCTGTCAGGATCAGTTGCAAACCAAGCAGCAGGATTATCTGCATGAAGAACTGCAATTTTGGCCTGGGTGAGGGTGTAATTCCACTTTTCAGCAGCGAGAACCTGCTTTTGCTGTAATAGATTTCAGGATCAAGAAGCTTCACTGGGCTCAGCAGGCAGCTGGTGTCCGTGCTTGGGATACAGAGAAGTGCAGAAGACACTAAATGATGCAAACTTCTGCCAGAAAAGAGTATGTGAGTAAGAGAGAACTGGGGAAATATGAAACGGGAAGAGAGTTTTGGCTGCATGTGCCAATTCTAAGCCCATTACAAGAAGGAAATCTGTTACCGATTTTATCTTAGCTGGCCTGGAATGAATAGCAAGCTGAATAAAACCTCTTTACCATATCAAAAGCATCAAGATAAGCTTAATGAATAGCAAATAATTGGAAACAGATAAAAATACCCCAAGCAAACCCAACTGAACAACAAACCCACACTTTTTTGTAAAGTCTTTTGACTTGGAGCTACAGCATGGAAGATTTCTCACCCCACACATGCTTACATGCCATAGTTACTAATGGCTTGTCATTTTGTGTGGGACAGTAGGTACTAAAATGGATTCTTCCATGTTGAGGATACTGAGGTGAATGTTCATTTGGGTCACCAGTAATGTAAGTTTAGTTTGCTTAACCTGGCCCCAAGGGGAGTCTGCATTTCCCTTCCATTTTTCCATCATTCTAAAAAAATGATAAAGCAGTAACTAGCAGTTATATAATACCATTCACCTCTGAGTGCTTTATGAACAATAGGACAATGATCTGTATACAAACAGGGTGAAGGAAAGGCTGTGGAAGGGAAGACAGAGCATTTCAAAGGGGGAGAGAGGTACAAATAGGAATGGGCTTGGCTGGACTGGGACATATAAAATGTAGATCTCAGGGAAGAGAGAGATTTACCCTGTGGTCTCTTGCTTGGCTCTTAGTGGCTCTGCAGGCAAAAGCTATGTGCCAGCAGCTGTGCACTGTGACCCATCTGGTGGGGTCACTGAACATAGAGGGGACCTAATGCTGCTCTGAACGGCACAAACAAATCCCTCTTTTGTGTGCTTTTTTCATTTGGACCCCGTAAGGAGAACATGGCACTTCTGCTGGCTGTTCCCTGGACTCTCATGATGCAAACACCCCTGTTCTGGTGGAGGTGGTGGCGATGGGGTTCTTGATCCACACTGCTCTGGAGCAGCTTGTCTTCTCCATGTGCTGACATTCACAACTCATTAGGTAACAAAGCAAATATAAGTGCACTTCCAGTCTCATGGATGATACATGTGCACACAAAAAGGCTTACTCTTCTGAAATATACCACAGAATCATTTAAATTGGAAAAGCACTCCAAGATCATCCAATCCAACCTGTGCCCATCCCCAACTTGTCCTCCAACCCGGAGCACTGAGTGCCACGTCCAGTCATTCCTTGGACACCTCCAGAGGTGGGGACTCCACCACCTCCCTGGGCAGCCCCTTCCAATGCTTAACCATCCTTTCTGTGAAGAAATTCTTCTTCCTGACGTAGTATCAGTGCAGCTCGTGCTGAGGTCAAACGGGGAGAGCGTTTATGGGCACGTGATGGTGCCACTGGGCCGTGGTGAGGGACAAGCTCCCTTCCTGACATCTGTTCCAGTCAGTTAGCAAGATGTCATGACAAGTCATGAAATTTGACAAGAGCCTCCAGGCTGACTGCTGCCAGACTTGGGGAATAATGAAAGGAGGGCTTTAAGCACCTAATCAAGACTTTGGCCTTGGTACTTGGCCGGTGGTGGGATCGGTGTGTTGTCAAGCAGTCCGTGTGTTGTCAAGCAGTCGGTGTGTTGGAGACACCTCAAAATAACAAGGTTGATCCTGTTCAGGACAGAGGGGCAGCAAGGAAACTGTGAGACAGAGTTTTAAGAGCATCTGCCTGCCTTTGGTGCAGCTTTAGCCTGTCATTGTGTGACCTCCAGCCTCATTCCGTAGGCTATCATAGCTACAAATGTCTAAAAAATTAAATAGAAAAGGTCTTTATAATAATAGAGTCTGTGAACAACCAAAGTTGTTGTTCCAAAATCATTCTGACAAGGCTTATGCCTTCAGCACCACTAAATATTTTTTAAGAATGTGTCATTTAGTGTATTTGTAGCTTTTGTAGTGTTTGCTTTGTGGTTGGTTGGTTTTGGGGTTTTTCTTTTCACTTTCTTGTTGTAGGCATTAACTGCTCCCCAGGCCTCCTTGCCTGCTTGTTAAAGTTCTGTTGCTCATGCCTAAATTTGGGACCTCAGGGTGCTGATACTCTTCAGTGAGTATCATGCTCTCTGACATCACTGTGTCAGTTTATAGGAGGAATAAACACAGAAATTCTCCAGGAGCTACCTGTGGGTCCATTGGCCAGAACATACTCCATTTCTGTATGATGAAACATTGTGAAAGATGTGGGTCTTGTGTCATTAAAGTCATATGAAATAAAAAGCTTTATGTTAATTGGAATAGGAAAATAGTAAAGCTCATAATGACCTGAGTAAAAAATTAATTGGAATTAGAAGCTGCAAAGAGAAATATCAACTTGTTTTAAGACAAAGAACAGCATTCAGACACAATTAGTTTATATATTGCAATGCTTTCTTACTTGTGTAATGTAGTAATGTAGTATCCTTATTTGGACTGCAGCGTCGTTTGTTTTCAGTGAATTTCTCCTTAGTTTGACTTGGTGTGACATGAAAATGAGGTTACCCTTTCCAATGGAACAATGTTGCTTTGAATTTTTAGGAAATTCACCTGATCTCCAGAAATGACCTGATCTAATAGTAACATTAATAACCTTCCTAGCTGCAACAAAATGTTTTCATTAGAGTGGGGGCTTCCCAGAACACATAATCTATATGATTATTGCAGAATTAATAATTTTCCAGATAGTATGTAGAATTTACCAACAGTAACCTGCAAAATTCTCTCCTGTATTAGTAATTCACTTTTATCAGGGGAATGTTTCCAAGTAAATCAGCACAGGTTTTAATACTTGATTGACAGGCTGGAGACAGAAAAGGAAGATATACTTTATTTCTGTGTTTCAACTATGGTGTGCCATGGAGACTGTAATTTACAATCTTGTGCTAAAATTCCTTCCTTTTTGTGGTTGCACTCCAATGGTGAAGTACCAGCACC